AGCTTGGTGGCGGTGGGCCGGGGGCCGGGGGGGCGCGCCACGCGGGAACGTCCGGGGCGTGGCACCCACATGAACGTCCTTGGCTTTGTGGGCAGGGTGGGGAGCTCTCGGCGGTTTTGTGCAAGATTTCCTCCCCCTCTCCTTCCCCGCAGAGTTCCTGAAGATGATGGAAGGCGTGCAGTAAGAAGCCGGCTTCTCCTCTGCCCCGACCGCGTCCCTCGGGCCAGGGCGGTGCCACCCCGCCCCGTCCCACTCTCCGCCCCGGGAGGGAGGCGCGGCCCCTGCTGGCTCTGTGTCCAGAAAGAATAAAAACAGACGCTGAGAAGCACGTAGCCTGAGTGAGGGGAGGAGCAGGGGAGTGGGTGTCATGGCCCGCCGGGCTGGGCCGTGGTCCAGGGCGCCACCCGAGCGCACTTGGGATCCGAGGAGGGGCGGCCCGAGTTGCCTGACGCGCCGACGCGCTGGTCAGGTTCCCGGCCGGCTCCCGGTAGCTGGCGCTGGGCGTGGGCAGCTCGGCCGACGGGCTGCGGTGGCGCCTGGCGCTGGAGGAGGGTGGCCGGGGCCTTGGGGCTGTCGGGGTGAGTGAGGGTGCCTGGGAGGGGGGTAGGGTGAGGGCGCCGCAGGCGACCGAGGCCCCTTTCCTTCCCTACCGTCCCTCCTTTCTGGAGCCTTTTTGGGTCTTCGGTGCAGACTGCCGGGGTTGGGGAGGGAAAGGGGAGTATCCGTCCGTTCCAGGCAGCATTCGTTCCTGCTTGACTTTTTCTACTTCGTCTGTTCTGACGTCTTCGTCTCCACCCTGGACCCCTGCCTCCAGCCCCGGCCAACGCGCTCAACACACGGCCATCAGCACGATGGAGCCAAAAGAAATTTGACCTTGCTCCTCCCCAGTTGAAAGACCTTCAAGGCTCCCCATTGCTTCTAGAATCCAATCCAAATTCCTTTCCCCTCCTTCCCTCCCCTCTGGGCTCCAGTCACGCTGGGCGATTTGTCACTCCTGCCCTGGACAGTGGGGGTGCACTTTCAAGCCTTCTGGCTTTTGCTCCTGCCTTCTCCCTCCTTGGAATGCCCTTCCTCCTCTAAAAAGCCTGGCAAGTTTCTCAGCCCAGCTCAGATACCACGTCAAAGATACCAGAACCCAGCTCAGACACCACCTTCTCCCTTGATCCCTTCTCCCACTGGCTGTGCTCTGGCTTCTGTAACTCTTTGTGCACGACTCAGTCACAGCAGGCAGCAGGTCAAAGCTAATGCCGTGCAGTGGTGCCTTAGCTTTAGAGGCAGGGTGCCTCTGAATGAGTTCGAACCCTCACTGCCATGACAGACCACTCTGTAATTCAGTTTCCTACTCTGTAAAATGGGGATAATGAGAATTATCACAACCTTGCAGGGTTGTGAGAACAAGTTAGTTTGTTAGTGCAGAGCGCTTAGAACAGAGTGTGACACGTACTAATGCTATTATTATTTTTAAATGTTTATTTTAACAAATAAGTACATTCGAGAGCCCAACGTGGGGCTCGAACTCTCGAACGGTGAGATCCTGACCTGAGCCGGAGTCAGACGCTTAACCCAACCGAGCCACCCAGGAGCCCCACTAATGCCGTTATTAATATCACTACTACCACGTTGAAACCCTGACTTGTGCGGTTATTCATCGCTACAGTCCTCCCTTTCCAGTTCCTTCGTGTTCTTGGCTCCCCTTTCTGAGGCATTCATGTTTCCCAGTTTCTATTTCCAGCCGGGGTCAGCACTCATCACCAGGACCGCTTGCTGTGTGCCGTGCCTTGCGGGCCTGTCTGATTGATGCACACAACCCTAGAGGCAGGCAGAGGCTGTTCTCTCCGTTTTACAGCGGAGGAAGGCGGTGACGTACCCGGGCACACACATGTGGAAACAGGAGCAAGGCTCTTAAGTGTGGCACCACCTACCTGTGGACAGTTCTCCCTAGCTGCCCTTAGAACTTCACACCCGTCCTGCTCTAATCTCATAAATTCCCCATCTCAGAGATGGCACCCTGGAGTTCTGGAGCCGCCTTCTCACCCGCAGTTTGCTCTGGCCTGCTGCTTTCCTTCTGTCTCCTTACTCTTTTATCCGTCCTCTCCGAGCCCGCTCGGTGTTGTGACTCAGAACAGTAGTTAACCTCCTGGCCGTTCCCTCCCCTCAAGGCTGCCGGAAGCAGCTTTCTGACACCAAATCCTACTCAAGGCTTTATTAGGTGCCTCAAGGTAAAGCCCCTGTATTTTATTATTTTTACTTTTTTAAAGTTTATTTATTTTGAGAGAGAGAGAGTGAGAGGACTGAGAGCAGGAGGGGCAGAGAGAGAGAATCCCAAGCAGGCTCCATGCTATCAGCAGAGTCTGGCATGGGGCTCGAACTCATGAACCAGAAGATAATGACCTGAGCTGAAACCAAGAGTCAGTCGCTTAACTGACTGAGCCGCCCGGGTGCCCCAGGACCTTCTCGGTAAAGGCCTTTAATTTAAAGGCCTTACAAGCCCTTTGCGACCTGACGTCCATGCCACTATGCCACTATTCCATGCTGCTGAACTTCTTGCTATCCAAGCAGTGTGCTCCCTTCCTTATCCCTCCCTCATGGCCCAGTCCATTCTCCAGAAAGCCCTCCTTGATTCTCCTGGTCTTTGTGCCCCACCTCTGAGCTTTCATAGTACCCAGCATCTAAGGAGGGCTTACCACATGCCAGGCACTACTCTAAGGTCTGTCTATCCTATGAGGTAGCTACTAATATTTCCATTTTACAGAGTGGTTTAGTCTAAATGTATGCAAGTAACAGGGAGGGGTGTGGGGATTCTAACAATTGTTCTGCCTGTGAGGTCTGAGCTCTTAACCACCACTCTTATGGCACTTATTCAACCCCCACTGACCTGCCTGTCTGCCCCCTGAACTTCAGCCTTTGAGGACAGGACTGTGTTTTTCCCCCTGCTTGATCCCCAGCCCCAAGCACAGGGCTTGTACTGCAGGCACTCAGTAATGGTATGGGGCGAATGGGAACAATACCTTCTCCGTCTTGTTGCAAGTGCCAGAAACCTAAATCAAATGGACTTAAACTAAAAAGGGATTTGCTGGCTCACGAAACTGGGATGCTAAGGCGTCAGCTGGAGGCCAGTCTCAATGTCACCTCCATCTCCCAGCTACTGGTCTCTGCTTGGCTTTCTCCCATCTGCAATTGTCTGCACCAGCTGCCCAGACTCCCTCCTCTTTTAAGCAACCCTGTTAGTAAAATCATTCTACTTTCTCCCAGGGATTAATTCTAAGGAACACTCTGATTGGTTCTGAGCTATAGTCCACCCCTGTGACTGACACAAGGCAGGCCATGTGGCCATCTGGGTGGCCCAACAATTGGATCAAGGACCACGTGGAGAAGCCTCCTAATGCAGACAAAAAAATATACCCGCCTTGGCCAGCATTTATTTAGTAAGAACCATCTTAGTGCTACTTTCTGAGTTGTCTTCTTAGACATCCTCTAGTCACGTATTTTCAAAGTTGAGAGAGCCTCAGAATCCCGGAGTGCTTGTTGGGGCCAAGAATTTGCATTTCTAACAAGTTCCAGGTGGAAGGGCCACGCCTTGAGAACACCGCTCATCTTCAACTTCGGGAGGAATGCAGACCCTCAGGCCCCACACAGACCCACTGAATCAGCATTTGCATTGGAGGTAGAGCCCAGGCAGACTTCTCTGCACATCCGATTGGGCAGCACTGCCGGGAGAGCTAGCCACACAGTGTCATCCAAATCCCATCCCAGATCCGCAGGCCACTTGTCACCTGCCTGCTCCATGGGGGCACAGAGCAGGGAAGGAGCCTGGGCTGGCAGGAATAAGAGAAAAGTGAGAACCTTCCTGATGCCTCTC